AAACTGAGTCGTGTGGAACAGAGGCTGGATTTCGTCCAGAGTTCTCACAGAATCTTCTACTTTCGCTAAATCAAGAGGAAAATAAATACTCCAGAAGACACTGCACTTATATGGTTCATTGTCCTGTGTAGTGTGTGTCAGACAGAGAGACTACTGGACCTTTAATCGCAGGGAAGATGAAAGAAAATCAGATGGTGGGGATTTAATTTCTACCATGATAATTTAAAGCAGACTGTTTATAATGTCATTATAGTTTTCTTCTTTAGAAGTATAAATAATATAAATAAAATTAAGCCCACAATCAAACACTCTCTCACACTGGTTTCCTCCCACAGTCCAGACTGGTTAATTTAAGCAATCATGCAAGGACTGGTGACCTGTCCAGAGTGTACCTTGCCTCTTGCCCAATGACCACTAAAGACACAAGCAACCCTCCAAGATAAGCAGATGATGTATCTATCTCCAGGCTGATTGTTTCTCCAATTCTTCGCAGAATGTCAAACGTTTGATTAGATTGAACAGAGAGCACATGAAAACATCCCTTTTCAAGTCGTACAGCTCATTCTCAGTGTGTCTGGACCACAGTTAACTCGTTCTAAGAGATGAATATGGCTTAATCTAAGCCATCCTATTTTGGCTCTGACTCTTTAGTTTAATTTTTCTGGACTGACTGTTCCACCTTAACCCTCCTGTAACTTTTACATGCATCCTTGCTCCAACATACCTGATCCAAATAGCTTAATTTCTTCACCAGCAGACGTTCAGCTCTGCAGAGGTTCAGCAATATGCACCTCTCTTGTTTCAGGCGTGTTGGAGAAGGAATGCATCTGAAGGTTGCAGAATAGTTCTTCTGGCTTTCATCTTGAAACTGTTGCTACAAGTAGCTGTCCTTTCGACAGATTCTCCCAGTGGAGACTTGGATCCTCACGGCTCCCACAGAGTTATCACCTGCTTCTTGTTTGCCTCTCTGACTAACGATCTTATATTATGGCGATTTCAGAAGACGGCAGTTGTTCCGTACTGTTTGAAGTTTTTGGATGATGAACTGAACAGTGTTCTGTTAGATTTCAAAGCTTGAAATATTGTTTTATAACCTAACCCTTGCTTTAAACTTCTCCACAACTTTCTCCCTAACTTATCTGCTGTGTTACTTTGTCTTCATGATGCTGTTTGTTCTCTAACAAATATCAGAGTTCTTCACAGAAGAACTAGAATTATTCTAAGATTAAATTACACACAGATGGCCCTAATTAGGTGACTTACACACCACATGTGGTAATGTGACAATGTGAAAAAGAGGTATGAACACTTATGAAAACCTCGTACATCAGTTTTGACATGTCCGTTGGCCATTAAAGAGAGTTTCATCCCAGCTGTGTCTCTGAACAGTCTTCAGATAATCCAATAAAAGCTCAACTTTTAGATTTCACCAGAAATCTAAAAGTGAATAGAAAACTTGAAATATTGAATAGAAAACTTGGGAAAGCAAGAGGATGTCAGAGATATTCTGATATAATTATCATTATCATCCCTTCATTCTTATTTATTGACTGAGACATCCCTGCCAGCTGCGGAACAAAGCGCCTCCCTGTGCATGTCGTTTAGTCGCAGCCTCTGGCATCTGCTCTCAAAGAGACCTTTTGAACCCTAATCCCCCCTCCCCATATTAAAGGAAGATGACTTTCACCATGCATGGTTGCAATTTTAATAATCTTATCTTATTATGAGGCAGGATTACACTGATATAGATCAAGGAAAAAGAAACAGGGCAGATGTGTCTGAAATAATTTCACATCATGATTGGCCCCAGAAGTGAAGCGTTGACATCTGAATTCAAACCACCAAAAACACACTGGATGAAAATCATTTGGTTGTTTGTCCTATAAACGGCTCAGGAGTGAGACATGACTCACATAATGAATGTCATCTCACACATTTCCTCTTACTGTAATTAGCCTCGTTGGATTTTTATTGTGCTGGTATTTGCTCGACACATGATTTGACTGGAACATAAGAGCTTTCTGTGTGTTCATTGGAATCTTATGTGAAATGATGCACTCAGACATTATTTATACGTCCATTTTTTTCCCTCTTAAAGTAGCTCAGAAGTTAGATGAGTGTCTGGGAAAAAACTGAGCGAAGTTTGAGAAAGTTCAAGCTAACAGCAGAAAAAAATTATGTATATTAGATTCAATTGAGAAATGTAAATACTAAAAAGTTCCTACTTCAAAAATCCCTAGAAGGACTTGTCACTGCTCTCCTAAGAAAGAATAAATACATACTGATCTTTGGAATGATGTGCACAGACAATTTGGCACAGTGGAAATCAGATAACATGTATGTGAGGTGTCTATCACTTTTGGAAATTCTGGTAAAGTTTTAAAAATCAACTGACAAAGTTGCTGCTGAACCATAATCGCTTTTTTTAATGAAAGCTTTTTTCACTAAACAAGCTAATGAAAAAAAAAAAAAATTAAAGTTTGTTCATCACACCTCTTGTGGGTTTTTTTGTTTTGTTTTTTGTTTTTAAGCCATTTAACTAGGAAATTATAAGGAAACCTTGAACTGTCAGTTCTGTCATTCACATTTTGAAGAGAGTCTAAGAGGTGACTGTTGGATGATTAGGGAGCTGAACTTCATTCCCTCTTCCAAATATCAATAAGCAGTAGCGCCTCCAACTGCATCCTCAGTTTTTTGCAGTTTAGACATACACATCTGCATTAAAACGTTTCACACAAACAAACATGCATACACCAGTGGCATCAGGGATGCCTCCCATGGCCTTAGGGACTTTGCTGGTGCTGTAGGGGAGCGCTGAGTGGGGGATGGTATGGTGGGATTACACTGTGCTCACCCTCCAACAGTCATGCTGAATTTTCCCCATCAGGTTTGGAGTACTGGGGTGGAGCTGGGGTCCACAAAGTCTACAGCTTTACTGGAATTCAGAAGACAATCGGAACAGAAATGTACACAGCTTTACCCTATCTCATCCCTTACAGGAAACTTGGACAGTGTTATCTCCACCCTTTAGTTAACAGCAGCTCTACAGGGAGGATTTTGTGGGTAGATTAAAAGATAAAAGAGAAGGATGCTTTACGCTACCCATGGCTTTTTGAGCTTACATAGAGTCTAATTCAATCCTTTTGTTCTGTAGATGGTAACAAGCCAATCCAGACAATAATTGTTGCATGTTTTTTTTGTTTTTCTGCAAGAGTTAAATAAAAACCTGCCTCAGAGAAGATGATGCTTCTCTCTAATGAGGGTTGTGCTATGGTCTAACCAGGGATGCTAAATTGTTGCCATTCTTCTGACAGTAAAGTGTGTGATGAAAACACAAGTAGGGTCAAGATCTGTGTCAAAGAAGAGCTGAATGAAACTAGGTTTGGGGTTACGGAGAAGAAGTGATATGTTAACTGTATTGTAACACCTCTTAGATAAGCCTGTTAAGGTGACTGTGTGGCTGTTTAGCATGTCGACTGGCACAAGAGGCCTTTGTCTTTCCCCACACTTCCTCTCTCTGACATTCATCCTCGTCTGTCTTTGTCAAAACATGCATGACCACGAAGTAAACCTATGAGCTAAGTATTTAAATATGGTTTTAATACATTAGGTAATTTATCTTGTTGGTATGAAACGGTACACTAAACAACAGGTGGGTCATTATCAGAGAGCTTCATGTACAGTTTACCCATTCACATTACTCAGATCTGCGTTTTTTTTAGATGTCCATTCCTTCAAACACTTGCCTGTTAAAAAAAAAGAATTGCAGTTCATAGAAAAAAATTCCACTTTCTGGCTTTATGTCTTGTTTTCTCATTCATCCATTTTTTAAAGCTGCTTTGTTCACCAGGAGCTAACCTCCGTCCCAAACTGGGGCCAACATGACCATACCAGGTACTTCTTGGGTCAGTCTAATCACAAATAACCTAACATGCATGGTTTTGGACTGGATTGTTGGAGAAAGCCGAGCTGTACAGACAGAACACATGGATGCAAATGGGGAACATGCTAACATCACAAAAAGACCTGCTCACCCACTGGAGGCCAAGCAGAGATTCAACTGCTGTGAGGCGACAAAGGCAACCAACTCACTGCCCTGCAGCCTAACAGTGTTGTTATTCTACAGTAAAAAGCTGTAGTCTTAATGAATTCATTAGACCTGTTAGATTTAAAAAAAACATTGGTGCATTTTCTCATCAATCTGTAAACAAGTTTGTTTTTTTCCCCCAGATCAAGGAGCTTATTGTATTTAACAGTTAAAATGTATATACCTTTAAATTTGGATAGTTAAAATTATTTTAATGTAATCATTGTATTTTGTTTATATATGTTGATGTTTGTTGTAATTCTCTTGGCAAATCAGGTCAGACTATCAGAAATATTCATCATAACAACAATTAGCTTTGCTATGAGATTATGCTAACAAGCAATGTTTTAACTAGAACTTTCTTTCATTAGTTTTTCTTTGTTTGAACTATAGAGCTTTAAGGTTTTTCATGTTAAAGTCTGAAGCACAAATAACCTTGGATACACTCACAATCATACATAAAGGCAGTTTAGGACTATTGTGCAGCCCTGAAAAACGCCAACCTTTAGGACTTTCATCATTTATCAGACATCTAAAGATGTCCTGCAGGTTGTTCGACAGAGGCAACTCATTTGAACCCCAGTGAAAATGAAGCAAGATTATCTCTATATTTATTCAAATCTAGCCTGTAACTAACCTTTATCTGATTTTTCCTGGTCTCAAAAAGAATTTATAAAATGTAACAAAACTGGTTGAGGTGTTTTCAGTGATTCCCCTGAAAATACAAGTTAGACATTTATAATTAAAATCTTTAAATAGCTGTTTGAACGGTAACCTAAAAGCACTTTAAAGTAGGTGATGAAAATGAAAAAAAAATATATATATATATAATTCTGAAAACATAGTAATGTAATTTTTATGGAAATAGAGAAACCTCAGGTCGTTCCGTTGGTTTTCCTGCAGTGAACGCATGGTGGCGACACGTGTCTAAACACAACCATGTGGTTCCTTTGGGGCACAATTCTGATTACTCAAGTTTGTTGGAAGAAGTTTGTGCTCAATTGGAGAGAGGCACACACACAGTTAGGGCTCCAGAGAGAGAAGAAGGAAAAGACGCAACTTTCTCCTTCATTTTTTTATTCAGATAACCCAGTGCGCTTTTTATTTTTATTTTTTTCTTAAGGAAAGCGCAAACAACAAACTCTAAGGCAGCGCGCTGAATTTGGAGACGCATTTTGGGGGGGAAGAGAACTCAACGATCCCGTTCGGATTTGGTAGTGAAAAGCGGCTTAGGGTGTAAGACAGAGCCAGAGGAATGTATCAAAATCGGGCCGCGGTGCGGGAACGTCTGTGGAGATGTCCAGCCTGCGCTCTGTGGATCTCCCTGCTGCTCCAAGGCGTGCTGGACCTGAGCGCGTCCGGTGAGTTTCTACAGCTTTCCCCTTCCACTGGGAATCCTTCCTGTCTCTCCTCAGCGTTTCTGTTGGCTCTGCTCTTTGCGGTTATGCCTCATTCATCTGTGTGCCAATCTGCGGAAAAACTTAACTGCACTCCAACTTGTACTTATTACAATTAAACCACTTTTTTTTTAAGAGTCGGTTCAAGTCCTTTACAAGCATATTTCTATTTTAAAGACTCTTTTCTTTGTTTCCACAAGAGATAATCTCTCGCATGTAGATGAAGCAGATCTGTTTGCTATCGCTCAGCTTCTCCTCTCATGCAAACGAGCTTTGGTTTTTAGATTAAGGTCCCTTTGTGATTCTGAAGCCTCGGCACGGGGAGAGACTTCACCCCATTGACAGACATGAGGACTCTTACCGTGGCTGTTGTGCGCCCCGCCACCCCCTGAAAGTGTAGATTCATTAAAGATAAGGATGGATGAGAGCCATTTCCACTGCCTTTACTACTAATGGCTGTCGACGGCAATAAGATGACCTTTTGTGAAGTACTCCAGCGTTTGACTTCTTATGAAAGCGAGTTGCCCATATCTGTGTTTGCCGTGCTTTGCTAAACCTTTTCACATTTTATTAGTTTTGTTTTGGATTTCAAAGAATGTAATGCATAAATATGACATGGAAAGAACAGGATACCTGGTTTTTCAGTGTTTCTGGAGCTAAATGTATGAGAAGATGTGAATTGTATTCAGCCCCTTCAACTCTAGAACCTCCTTCATTACAGTTAGAGCTGCAAGTCCTTTAGGGTAACTGATGGTGTTGCCCTTGGATCTTCAAAAATAAAAATAAAATAAAAAATACCCCAAGCTCAGTCAGTTTGAATGGAGAGGTTGAATATCTTTATTTTAGCCTCAGATTCTCAATTGAATATCGGTCTGAACTTTGACTAGGTCATTCCAAATGATTAACTTTTAGCTTTGCCTGTATGTTTAGCGTTTTTGCCCTCCTGAGAGGATAACTGCTACCACACAAAGCATCCCCACAGCATGATACTCTGAGCCTGTTTCACAACAGTGATGGTGTGTTCAGGGTCATTTGCTGTGTTAGTTTTTACATGGAGAATGGAAAGTTTAATTTTGATCTCATCTGAGTGGGTGCCTTTTTTTCCACTTGTATGACTCGTGGTAAACGTCTTCCAGCTAATTTTTCAACAATTCAATTCTTATCTCTCTTCAATGACTTGCTTAGTTTCCTATGGGATGTTTGAAGCTTGGGAAATGTTTTGATAACCCAACCTTGCTTTAAATTTCTCCAGAGCTTTCTCCCTAAGCTGTCCGCTGTGTTCCTTGGTCTTCATGATGCTGTTTGTTGTTTGTTGTTGTTGTTCGCTAATGTTTTTGAACAAACCTCAGGGGCTGGATTTGTACTGACATTAAATTACACCAGTGGACTCTGTTTACTGATTAGACTTCTAAGGGCGGCTAGCTGCACTGGGACAACTACCTGCCTATAGTGTAGTTAGTTTTGGGCAGACCACAATCTAAGCCACATTTTATATTTTTTTAAATGAAAAGTATGCATCATTTTCCTCTCACTAAACAGTTACGTGTTGTTTGAGTTTGTGATGTGACAAAATGTGTGAAAGGTTCAAGGGTATGAACATTTTTGAAAAGCACTTTACATTTACGGCCTTTGTTGTTTAGGTTTGGTTGATATCTCTAATGGCTGTTGAGGCAATAGGATGACTACTCCTTTGACTTCCAGGACAGAATAATTCCTTGATTTGTGGGTGAACCATATTTAGTACTAAAGGCTACTCTTGTCTTGTCAGTCTGGAGTTTTACTGCTTTTCTCAGCCCCTCCACCTCCACACAGCTCTGCATGTTTGTGTGAGATCCTAAAGGAAAAGATGGCAGATGGCCTCATGCTGGATGTATGTATGTAATTGCTTGACTAATATAAGTATGATTGATTTTAGTTTGATTTAGATATGAATTGTTTATGAAGCTGCTCAGGGAAGGCATTTTAAAATTGTTTTTGTCCTGGCCTTTTTGAGTGTGTTGTAAGTATCTAACAGCCCTCCCGATCCAGAAAGGTAGTTATGAATTATCTCCGGAAGATTTTCTGGGTTTGTTTGGATTACCTCCGTCCTCCCCTAAATGCTCCGGGTGGTTATTTACGATGACATTGTGCAGCATATGCTGTGTTGAGCTTAAAGCTTTTATGTGATAGTCCTTCTTTTTCCTGTCCCTTTCTGTATCTTCTGGCCTTTTTCTCTTGCTGGGAGACAGCGAGGAATGTTAATCCACATAACTTAACAGGATGAGTTGGCTCTGACTTATGCAAATGGAGTTTGATGGTGGAATATGGAGAGAAAAGGCAATAAGACCCTGATTCTCCCCTTACTTTATATCTGGACAAAGGAGTTTTGACACGAAATCCAGAAATCCAACAATTTAAATTTTGTATTGTTACACTACAGTTGCATCAATCAAATAGAGATTCGACTCAACTTATTTCCCCTTCATCATGACTTGACCTGCAGTACATAAGTAGATCAATTACTAACATTTTAAAAAAATATTAAAAATGACCAACTAAGTATTTGCACTATTTAAACAACATTAATAAACAACATATTTTCTTTCTTTGTTAAAATTAGATAAAGATTAGGGATAAAACCCATTAAATGATTTTAAGATATTATCCTTAAGTTGTTTAAATAACATTGGCATATGCTGCATGGTTTACAGTTTTTCCCAAATACCAACATTACCATAACATGGTTTGTTAATTTTCATGGATCAAAACATTCTGAGCAGATGGGTTGAATTTTTGTGCATCTGCAGCACGGCTATGCTGTTATGTGCCAACTTAGCAAGATAACAGCTCAGTTTATTTTGATTTCGGTGCAAGTAAGTATCTTTCAAAAATTGTTTTGAAATGGAGTGAAACTTGATTTAGCAACTCCAAGTCTTAGCTTAAAAATATCAGAAACATTAATAAGATCAGATGAGACCTTTAAGAAACTGGAAATCAGTATTGGCCAAGAAAAGTCCAATACATCTTCACCTAGTGCTTTGCTTTGCATTGCAAACTAAACCAGTCTCTTTTGCCTGTTGACAGGCAACTGTTGTCCAAAAAAAGTCTATAGCTATTAACAAGCATTTCTACTTTAAGAATCTTTTCTCTTTCAACGACAGCCTCTTCACCATTTGTTAGTTGCTGGGAGTTTTGTCTCCTTTCGAGCTTGCAGTCTGAGAGGGATAACAACAACAACGTGGTTCAGCTGTAATCAATTGTGAAGAGAACAGTGCGGCGCCTGTGATCTGTGGCCTTGTTACGGCCGCTCTGTGGAAACGTCTCGGCACATGTGGCCAAGAAGAAAAGGAAGAGCGTCGTTATCTACTTTTATTTGCGGCCGTCTGGTTTGCTGGTCACTCTGCGAGCTTCCAGTCAGGGGTCAGAGGTCGCAGGTCTGTCGGTGTAGTATAAATACCTGCTTTTTTAGGAACAATTAGGGTTTCCCCGGCTTCAACAAGGGAATTTTGATGATATGTCGGAAAATACACGAGTTAGTTATAAAAACAAACACACACATGCAGTTTATGTGTTTTAGAGAGCTGCATTTGCTGCAAATTCTTCGCAATGCTTATGAAAGTGAGTCAGGAGGTCATGGAAGGAATTTGGTTTGATTACTGCTGGACAGGAGATTATCGCCCTTTTAATGGCCACACACGCTGAAGTCAAAATCAGATTTTTAGGTGCAGAACTAAACCTATAGGTTTTAATTCACGTTACACAAGCTTCCCTTCATGGTCTGTGAAACTTACACAAGTATCGGCAGACCTTGTATTTTATATATGCCTTGTATTTCTCAGATTTCAGCATAAATCTGTCGGTCATGTTGATTTATTTTTATTTACTCTAAAGTTAAAGTCAGGTTTTGCAGTTAATGAGGTTCTAAAAATGGGAACGTTTACAGCCCAACTTGTTAGCTTTTGGGAAGGCATAAAAACAAAGCAGTTTTATTGTCAAATAGTGACAGTTGTTCCTCTACTGCCTTTTGGCTGTAAGTAATAATATGTGACACTTTCATTAGGTTAAAGTATTAACTGTGTTTTCATGGTGCTATTTCTACAAAAACCATCGAAGTGTTCCTGACTGTAGAACATTCACCTCTGAATGTTAAAGGTCCTTTGCATGGCAGTCATTATAAAATGTATTAATTGTGGCATTTAGCCTTTTAGTGTGACCTGCAAAGTCTTTAAATAGTGTCAGTCGACTATCGAAGAAAGTTGGTTTTAAATGACCTCGTATGCATATAATTGCCAGGCTCTCTTAGTCTTCCTCTTTACTGTCCATCTACTGTCCATTTCCTACACTATTTACTGAGAAGATAATGAAACTGAATATAAGTGATGTCAAAATATATATCACTATAGTTTATTTTTATAAATTAGGGCAGCTTGCTGTTGATACTGTGTCCTTCATGATATTTGCCTCTTACCTGTTAAAATGTTTATTTAAATCTCTAAAAGATTCTTATGCAGTATAAATGAGGCAAACCCAAGCTTTAAGTTGAATGCTGGTTTAGTAGGGAAATAAATGCCATGTAAAGAATTAATTATATGCACAATAATTAGATTATCAGATTAACTGGACTCAGATTTTTGTAAAACGTTTTGTCTTGTTGAGATCAGTTTTAGCTAATTTAGGTTTCTGAGTAAAAACTAAAATATAAGCGGGTCTAAGAAAAGCATACAAAGTATTTTGTACGACCCACCCTATTGTGTTGACCATTGTTCATATTGAAACCAGAAGACATGAGTTAGAGTTCAAAACAATGAGGAGATGAATACAAGTTTTTACACTGGCTTTAGCATCCTATATTGGCTATGAGTGTTGTTAGCACTCCTAGCACTGCTAAAACAGCAGTCTCTGTATGTTTTCCCTTGAGAATGCAACTCCTTGTCCCCAAATAATTCCATTTCCAAAAAGCTGTAAAAAAAGTCCATTTTCAGCAG